TAGTGGGCCGAAGGCACCACGTAGGGGGGTACCTCTGATGGCTGGTTTCTGGCGCCCCATTCTGCGCCCGCCGATCTGTCGCCGATGCTCAAGGACCTCGCCCGCCCCAGTCCATGCTGTGGCTCCGAGGTGACCCGCATCGCCTGACCCGCCAGCAGGATCAGCAGGAGGGCCGGCACCAGGAGCAGGGAGTGCCCAGTGCCAACGGGCGTGTGGGGAGAGGCGCGCGCGGTCCGGGTGCGGGTGCGGGAGGGCAGGAGGAGCGGGGGTCGCACCGAGGCCCACCGACTGAGTCGCTCGCCCATCTTCGCTACACCATCCTGGGGAGAGAAGGTCGCGGTTATTCACGCAGGGGAGGAACGCACATGCTTCGGCTATACCTACGTACATAAACCAATGATCAGCACATGCTTTGGCTGCACTTACAAGAGAAACCCATGAACCGTACACAGTTCAGCATTCAGCCACACACAAACAAAAACCCATGAACCGACACACTTCAGCATTCAGCCACTCTTACAAAAGCATAAACCAATGTCGTTAACACTAAACACAGACAAAATAAAGAGGCCATATTAAGTGCAGTACACGCGCTGTTACTCTGCCTCAACTGCCGTTTCTCCAAGACTTTGAACGACTCTCTCTAGGTTGTAGCCACACACTTCATACTAATGATGATGATAACTGATGATTATGGTAGTAATAGTAACAACAATGACGAATATAATGGTAATGATGATAATAATAATAGTAATAGTAATAATAATAATAACAATAATAATAATAATAAATATAAAAATAATGATAATGATAATAATAATGATAATAGTAACTGTAATAATAATAATAACAATAATAATGATGAAAATAATAATGATAATAAAATCAATAACAATATCATAATAACAACAAAAACAACAACAATAATAACAATAATAACGATGACAATACCAACAAGAACAATACTAATAACAGTAAGAAGAAAAGGAAAAACAACAGCGGCAATTATGATGATAACATTATGATAACATTAACGATAAAAACAATAATAAAATAAAATGTTAATGATATTAACAATAATAATTAAAATAACAATAATAACAAAACAATAACAGTGATAAAAACATCAATAATAATAATAATTAAACGATAATAATAAAAAAAACAATAACAATGAAAAAAACAGCAGGAATTAACAACAATAATAACAAAAACAATAATAATAAAAAATCTATAATAATCACAACAAAAACAAACAATTAACAACACAACCAATAACAAAACAATAACAACAACACCAGCAATAAACGGAAACGAAAACGACAAAGAAGAAAGGGAATAATAATAATAATAATAATAATAATAATAATAATAATAATAATAATAATAATAAATGCAAGAAGACATCCGTTGCGAAACAATATCTTTGGCCAAGAATATGACCCCACCCCCACCCCCCCCACCCCACCCCCACCCCCACCCCCACCCCCCCACCCCGGCCACCAAGCAACCCCTAATTACTAACAACTCAAAGGCCCTTTAATTAATAATAGGGTCTGAGGCTTTAATGCAATCATCTGTCAGTCAGTGTTAGAGTAATTATCATCGTCATTATCACGGCTATCATTCGTGTTATTATCGCTGTGGTCGTTTTCAATATTGTTTTCATTATCATTATCATTGTCATCATTATCGCTGTTTCTTTGTTGTTCGTGCTGGTACATCGTCTGTTTTTACTGTTGGTGCTCTGTTTTGTGTTGCTGTTACTGTAGCTATCAAATATATAATAATTATCAGTATTATCATTGGCATTACTTGTGCGATTATCATTATTATTTTCAACATTATCATCATTATTTCCAATATCATAATCATTTTTTTCAATATTATCATCATCACTACTTTCAATACCCTTCTCATTATCATTTTCAACATCAGAAACATTATTACTTTCATCATCATCATTATTTTCAACATTATAATCATTATTATTTTCAATATCATCATAATTACTTTCAATACCCTTATCATTATTACTTTCAACATCATTATCATTATTATTTTCAACATCATTATCATCATTATTTTCAATATTATTATCAATATTACTTTCAATATCATTATAATTACCATCATCAAAACAATCATTATCCTTGTTATAATCATATTATCATATTTACCTCCGCCAATGTTTTGGTAGAGCTAGTTTGCTGGTTAATTGGTTAATTGGTTATCAACAATTCTATTATTAGTAGTATTATTAGTATTAGATTATTTATCATTATCATTATCATTATTATCATTATCATCATCATTATTATTATTATTTATTTTCATTGTTGTTATTATTATTATTATCATTATCATTATCATTTTTATTTTTATTATTATTTTTTTATTACCAGATGTGTGTCTTTGACCAACTAAGACGCCACTGAATTTTGGTGGTGATCCGGATCATGGTCCAGATTCTCCGCAGGATAACGCAAAAAAGTTGTTT